GTGGAATGGTTTAGGGAAAGCCTCCACAGACGGTGGGATAAAAGGAAAGTCTAAATACTTTTGGAATTCTAGGAGCATTTAAATATTTGTAGAATTAACTATTGAACATCATTTATCATAGTCTATGTCACAACCATTGATGATTACCCCATGATTTAGTTTCAGTCACAGTCAGTCACGAAAAACAATCTGATTCCTCTGCTGCCACATAGAGATTAGTGTTCTTATACTTTTTCTGTCAGTTACTTTTGCTGATAGTTGAAAGCAGCAGAATATGAAAGAGGTGTTTCCATGTTAAGTGACTGTAAATATAGAAACTTTACAAACTTGTTTAGCTGGTGTTCCAAGAGTTAGTAGGTCAACAAATATTTATCAAGTACCTACTATGTACCAGGCACTAAAGATCTTAATGGAAATCAACACAGAGCACCTACCCCTGCAAGGAGGGATAGAGACTGGAATTCCAGAAATACTCTACTGGAAGAATACTTCTGAGGTCTATCCTTAATTGTTGTGCTGAGAATGTGATAGCCTTTTCTGAGCTATTTACTCAAAAGTTCTACCCATGTTTTAACTAAAATCAGCTAAAGACATTCTTACTCCAAAGTCAGAAATAAATGAGGAAAAAATAAGAAACCAAGTATTACAAAAGAGTTATACCATAGTTGGTTGTATCAAATAGTTCACATTGAATACAAATACACTTTAACATCCTGGATAGCTGGTAGGCAATTATGTTTTATTCAATCATTCACAAACCTTTTATGGAACACCTACCATATGTCAGGGAACACACTACTATAAGTGCTAGGGGTACAAATATTAACAAAAACAAGGCCTTACCTTGTACAAGGTCATATATTGTATTATTGCAATGTTCTTAAATTATTTTCTTTTGTGGTTTTTTGTATACCTACCTGGTTTAATAGATAGTAGTAGTTTTTAAATTTGTTTTAGAAAAATATTTACTATTGGGAATTGTTCACCATATCTATATAGCCAAAGCATACACTTGAAGACTTATTTCAGACTTTTCCTGATAAAATGAACACACATTTTTTTGGTAGAAATTTTGGGAACTTTCCTACGCAGAAGGAAAAAAAAATCGTGTGATTTTTTTACTACTCAGAGATAATTACTGTTGGCATTTTCTTCCAGAATTTTTTTCTATTCATTTGATTTCAAGTAACAGAAAACCCAACTCAAACTTGTTTAAACAATAAAGAAAACTGATTGGCTCAATTAAACCTTAAAGTTACAGTGTCCTATTGTAAAACTAGCAGGAATCAGATTAATAATGAATGACACTTGAGTGTTTCCAATGGGAAGTGGATGGGATATATTAAAATAATAATAATAATAATAACAACAACAACAACAATAAAACGGAACCCATCTCATGGTCGGATTGTGAAAACTAAAGAGGTGTATAGCTGTGCCCTCAAACTATAAGTAAATGTTATGCTAGATGCAAAACACAAAAAAGTGAGACAGACAGCAAAACAGATCATGATACAGGTTAGAAATGATCCAGAGTGTTTTTTTTCTTAATGACGGCCCATAAAACCTGACTGCCTCCTATTTACCTGCCTTACCCTTTTGAGACAAATTCAGCTTTCACTTCCAGCGAAGGTTAGTCTTGCTCCATCTCCAATATCCACCATTTCAGCAAAAGAAACACCACCATGGGACCACATTATCCATCCAAGAGGTTGGTCATCAATGTATCCTTTGGGAGCCAAAAGGGAGGAATTGTGGACACAAAAGGGGCCACATACTAAACCTGACAAGCTCAGGGTAGGCCTGCATGGCAAGCCTTACAAACTAAGAGATAGAACATAACAACATAGGATGGACTGAACATAAAAATTCCTAACTAAAAGTGGGCATGGTGGGTAATCACGTCCAAGGCCTTTAGCTTCCTTGATAAAGGTCAATCTTTACCTTAAAGAGCCTGTCTGTTGTCTTTTTGCATCTAAGATAACATACCTTTGAAATGTGAGCGAAATTTCCTTTTCCAGACCTCTCAGGGCACAACCACCAGCACAAGACCACAGAACCCCTCACTGTTCTCTTGCTCCCCCGCATACCATCTCTATGTATTGTAAACATTAATTATTAACTAGCCTATACCCACCAATGTAAAAGAAGTATGTGTCTCTCCATTTTACTTTTTATCCAATTCCAGAGATTTCCCCACTTTGCTTTCTCCTGCCCTTTAATCTACTACTAATGGTTTCATGTAACCCTCCTCACGTCTTCTCCTTTTATACTAATGTATAAAATAAACTACAAAACTACCATTCTCTGGAGCATTTTCTCAATCCACTGAGATTTTGTTTCCCAGCAATTGTCATCAGTTTGGCTGAAATAAACTCATAAAAATTAAAAAAAAAAAAAAGAAAATTGATTGGCTCACATGAATAAGAAGTCCACAGGCTAATTGGCTTCAAGTGAGGCTTGATTCTACAACTCAATTCATTATTAAGGATCCATTTATTTCCTTCTATCTATCATGTCTGCATCATTATAAAATTGGCTCCTCTCATGGTCCCAGGATGGCTGCCAGCATCTTCCTCTTGTTCAACAGGAAAGAGTACCTCAGTATTCTTAGCAAAAGTCCTAAGAGTCATTATATCAAACTACCTTAGAGCCAATGCCAACCATGACTCAATCACTGAGTCCAAAGGGATGGAATGTACCGATTGGATAGTCTAGGTTAGTTATATCACCTCTGAAGGTAGAGTGAAGTCAACTACTCTGGAGGTACATGGATCCCTAAAAAGAAATTGGTGTTATTGGTACGGGGATGGGAGTTTTAAAGACACTAAATAATTTTAAAGAAATTTGAAATCATATTAGACATATTCAATTTTAGTGCATGTGCTGCTGAAGCAAGCACTAGGCATAGTTGAACACCACATTTTAAATCACTCTAATCACTAGTGCCAACTTGGGCCAGTGAAGCAGCGTCCTCCACAACTAGATTGAAGAACAAAAACGACAGCAACTTGTCTGTTCCCCTTCCCCCAATTCCCCAGCACTGTTCCCATCCCCCCAATTACCCAATAAAAATCTTTAAAAAAAAAATAAATCACTCTAATCACTTGTAATCACTTCCTCTTCTTTATTCATTTTTTTTCAAGTTTTCTTTAAATATTTCTTTGGAAGAGGGGACACCACACTTCTCAATGAAGAGAAATATTAATACAGAGATCTTTTATTTTTTTACATTTATGCCATGAATTCATAGGGAATGGGTTCCAGCAGCTCAGGCTCCTTTCCGTTGGTTCTCACAAAGTGTGCTTCTCTGGGTGGGGCAGGCTGGCATTTCAGTTGAACCCAAGTACCTTTCTCTTTGGCTTCCTTCTTTTTCTGATCATTTTCCTTCACCCGTTTCAGGAAGCTGTCTTGGCTCTTGGAGTGCTTAATATGCTCAATACAAACATTAATTTTCTTGGCAAGAATCTTGCCCTTAACTTGTTTACAACAATGCCAACCGTGGGCTGAGTAACATTGTAGACCCTTCCAGTTTTGCCATGGTAACATTTGTGGGGCTTTCCTTTTTAAACAGTGCCCATTCCCTTGATGTCTACACTATCACCTTTCTTGTAGATTTGCATGTATGTGGCCAAAGGAACAGCTCCATGTTTTCTAAAAGGCCTAGAGAACATACAGCGGGTGTCCCTCCTCTTGCCCTGTGTGTTGGTCGTCTTGACGGATTACTGGAAGATGGTGGTCCCAGCTGAAAAGCTTCTTTACTCATTTTTTATTACTTTATGGATGGCCCAGAGTTCCAGCTTTTTCAAGGAAGATTACCCTCAAAATTTCAATAAGAAATACTTGATAGATATTAAAAATTATGATACAGATTTATATGGATAAAAGTTAATTATATATTAATGAAAAATGTTACTAAAAAACATGTGTATAAAAAATCATGTCTAGGGCCAGCCAAGTGGCTCAGTTGGTTAAGAGCACGAGCTCTGAGCAACAGGGTCACCAGTTCGATTCCCACATGGGCCAGTGAGCTGCGCCCGAGCTGAGCTGCCGCTGAGTTGCCAACAGGCAGCAGGATGGCTCAGCTGGTGAGAGCACGTGCTCTTAACAAGGTTGCTGGTTCGACTCCCACATGGGATGGTGGGCTACGCCCCCCCGCAACTAAGATTGAACACAGCACCTTGAGCTGAGCAGTCGCAGCTGGTGAGAGTGCATGCTCTTAACAACATGGTTGCTGGTTCGAAAGCAGCGACTGGACTTGGAGCTGAGCTCGCACCCTCCACAACTAAGATTGAAGGACAACAACTTGACTTGGAGCTGATGGGTCCCGGAAAAAACACAATGTTCCCTTTCCCCAATTCCCCAACATTGGTCCCCTCCCCAATTCCCCAATAAAATCTTTTTTAAAAAATCATGTCTATTATATGATGCTATTTTTCTTTATATATATATATATATATGTATCATATTGTAAAATGTTAACAGAAGTTATCAGCAGGTATTGGCTTTTACTTTCTTCATTCCTTTCTGTATTATCTAAATATTTTATAATGATTTATTACATTCATAATCAGAAAAAAAAATTAGAAACTGAAACTGCAATTATATTACATATTAAGCCCCCATTTGGTGATGTGGCCTAGTATAAGTGAGTCCATTTAGGGCCTGTTTTTTTGTTTTTTTTTTAACAATTGAGAACAAAGGTAAAGTGAGGAGACCAGAAGCAGAATGCATGACTTTTCTATAGTTTCAGTTTCTGCCCATTTTTCTCCTGCTTAGATTTCAAATCCTTTAACCAACCCTTAGCTTACTGTGATTTTTCAAGTTAATCCATATGTTCTTGTATCTTTGCACGAAAACTACCAACATGATAGGAAAACACTGAAGCTACCAGACAAAAAAGTTAAAGATGCAAAGCAAACTAGAGGCTTTACAAAGGGCAGATACTTGTGGAGGTGTTAAGTGGGGTCAGGTTATAAATATTTTTAAGTTTGAAATAATTCTGATTCCAAAAGTTTAATTCAAGTACAGGATTCTTCCTGGTTTCAAAATAGAGCTCTGCACGTCCTCACTGAACTGTCACCGATAAGTTCTTGGAACTGCGGGGAAGCAACATATAATGAAAACAATTTTACCATAGGCTAATTAAAATAAACAAGTTAAATTATTGGCATCTCATCAACATTAAAACAAACAATATTAAACCAAAAGGCGTTACTGGAGTACCTGCTGTATTTGGTATCTTTCCACCAATACAATCAGTTTCCTCTTGATAAATGGAGAAGTTATGCATGTGGTTTCCCCCACAATAGAAACACGGTCAGGGACTGGGAGCTTATTCGAAAACAAGCACAATGCTCAAGCTTTACAGACATTTTAATCTCTATTTTAGTCAAGTCAAGGTCACATTGCCTTAGGAAAGGCGGAAGGTGGGATTCTCACCCAAGTCTGATTCTAAGTCCTTGCATTTAAACTCTGCTATAAACATAATTCACACGAAGCTGCTGGGCGGAAAGACTAAAGGCCTCTGCCTGTGAGTTTAGGAAAACAAAATCACAAATACGCACAGCCGCCGCCATCTTGCGGGAGCCGAAAGGCCGGATATCCCGCCGGGGGCGAAAGCGGGCCGCTGGCTGGCGCAGGGTCTGGGGACCGTCTGTCTCCTCATCCCGGCAGCTGGAGGCGGAGCCTGAGGGCGGGGCCGGAGGCTGTGCGGCCGGGAAGCT